GCGAGTGTGGACGCTGTTTCAAGGAACTACAAATCAGCGGCGAGAATATACATAATCAGATGCTATGTAATACGAATCCCCATGTAGACGCTGCTGTTAGTCTCCAAGTCGCGCAAGCTTAGTTTGCAGCATGTGCCGCAGACGCTGGGGCTTCAGGTACTTTGCAGCGCATTCTAGAGCACATTTTGACACCGAATCCCAAAGTAGACGCTGCTCCTTCTCGTCCCATGAATCGATGCCCTGNNAAAAGCACTCGAGATCCACATTCCGGGTTTTTGGCTGCAACCGCGGTCCACGTATCGAGCGCTGATCTTTGGAGCAACACCAATGACATCAAAACCAGCCAATCTCCATGGAGACACTCGATCACAAACGTACGCACAAGACACGCCATCAGTGGCATCACAGCACGTCCAAACCAGACATTCCCCATGTAGACGCTCGATGTCAGAAGCATGCCCGGGGGACATACATCAGTCACATCAATGGCAACATAACACACCAAAACCAGCCACTCCCCATGTAGACGCTCGATTCACCAGCGCACGCACAAGACCCACATCTGTGGCATCACAGCACACCCAAACCAGGCATTGACCCTGTAGTGTGTCTCTGTCTCTATATCCTGTGTATGGGTGTCTGTGCACGTACGTGTACCCATCTAGATCCTGTGTATGGGTGTCTGTGCACGTACGTGTACCCAGCGCCAAACAATGTGACCGAGACTGGTTTGGATGAGCTGGACCTATTTGCCACAGGGCCATGTGGTAAGTTCCGAAACGGACAAGCACCCGTTCGAGACACACATCCGTGTCATCACAATACATCATCGACGGTGAAGAGACTCGATTCCACAAGCACCCGTGGCATCACGGCACATCGCAATCAGCAATTCCCCATCTCGATTCCACAAGCGCCCACTCGAGACGCACATCAGTGGCAGCGCACCACATCAAAACCAGCAGCGATGCTCCATCTAGACGCTTGATTCCACAAGCACCCACTCGAGAACATCTGTGGCAGCACACCACATCAAAACCAGCAGCGATGCCCCATCTAGACGCTTGATTCCACAAGCGCCCACTCGAGACGCACATCAGTGGCATGACAGCACATCAAAACCAGCGATTCTCCATCTAGACGCTCGATTCCACGTGGAACCATAGGATCTTTCACAAATAGAAGTGATTGTTTGAAAGCGGTTTCCCGAGTGTGGACACTCCTCGATGCGTGTTTCAACCCAGCGATGCGAGACAAAGCGACAAAACAGGATCCCAAATCCCAGCTCGAGGACAACAGAGAATTACGGCGGCCTGTTGCAAAGCTTCACGGGACTTGAACTTGGTACCTCGGCCCCGACATGCAGCAGCTTCCGCGGGCCAAGCACTATTTCAGCTGGGCTGCGGAACTCACTGGCAGTTACGGGCCAAAGGCCGAAATCGAAGTCGTCCTGCCACGGCCGGGAAAAAAGCCTGCCTTGTGCTTCATGAGCCCCACAACTGTCATCCTTGAAGTCGTAGATTGGCATCGACACTGTGGTGGCATTGATATAGCACTTCGCAGGGTCCGTGCACGCAGTTCCGGGCCTTAAACACATGTCAATGATAAGACCTTGTCATGCTGCAGCCCCCTGCAATGTGACAATTTCAGTCTGTGTTTTGCTGCCAGTCATCGCCGTGAGGCTTTGGTTCGAAGATGTGTGGCAAGTGGAACGGCCTTACATCGGAAACATCGTGGAAAGCGTCCTTCAGGGTCAGCATAATTGGCGCAGGCTTGCCAGACTGGACTATCGAGGCCCCTTGCATAAGGTTCATGCCGCACGAACTTGGAGCGAACAATGCTTGTGCGTGTGTCTGTGTGTGTGTGTGTGCGTGCGCGTGCGTGCGTGCGGGTGCACAGTCCAGGATCGTTCTCAAGTTCATGAACTCGCTCTGTAGACATGAGGGAGAGTGTGAAGAAAGCAAAGCCACCCAATTGCTCTGTGATGCTCTCTGCACTCCACATTCCTCTACCTGCACCTAGCGGCAAATGCAACAATGCAACTGTGCGGGAAAACTGCCAGGTCCTTGCTGACCAGCTTCGACTGGGCGGCAGGCGTCTGCTCAAACCCAGCAACGATGTTGGCAGCCACGCTGGCGACCCACTCACCTGCACGGCCAAGATGAGCAATATTCTACAAGAAGCCGCCATAGTGGCCAGTTTTGCTTCCGGGAAGCTGCCGCAAGTGCAATCTGCTGGAGGTAGCGGCTTTGGCGGCCCGGCCGGCGGCAGCAGCGACTTGTCGGGATACCTTGGCTGAGCGGCTGAGACGAAGTGCCAAACCCCGCAAGTCGCCTCTGTTTACACACAAGCATTGTGGAAGGCTGTCGTGAGCCCAGGCACTTGGGGTATTGGCAGGTGGGGTTGGTAGGGAAGTCGCTGTTGCAAGGGGGGTTCAGATAGTGGTACCCCTCCAAGTGCATGGCAGCCAGGAGCGGGTCCTTAGCTTCATGGTGCACACCGTCTCGCAGGACGTGGCCATTCCACTTCCAACAGCATACATGGAGCCCTGACATGCGACTCTGCACTGCTTCGTCTCCAAGTTTCCAGGATCTCCCCTGTCTTCTTCACCTCAGTCCAGAACATACCTGCATGGCACTGATCCCAATGACATCAGCCCTCCAAGCTCGCTGCAGTCGAGCTGCTGCGTCAACTATCTTCTGTTGCGCTGCCTCTTTGATCGAACCAGAGCCGAACAAGGAAGTGAAGTAGTCGGAGACGACTTGGCCAATCATTGCATGTCCAGCTTCGACAGACACCTGGCGAAACATAAGTGATACAGTAGTCTGGCAAACGAAGCGGCATGAGATCGCTAGGGCAAGTGAGATCGGGGTTATGACAACAACCTGGAACCCTCCTCAAGGCAGAGGTGCCTAAGCTGCGGCCTTGTTTGCTTTGTTTTGCAACCCTTTCGGGCTCTGCAGAGTGGCGTGTTGCGCACTTGCAAGAGCTATAGGCCATACAATCTTCGAGAATCATGACCGGAACAAACTACAAAGATCTGCAAAGGCCACACATCATCATGTTGCTATGCTATCGCATCATCGAAACAATGGACAGCGCCAACACAGAATCATCACCACCGCCCTCACCATCATCCACCAGTCCTACCATCACCATGACCAACATTATCAGCAGCCGCTGCTGAAGCAGCAGTAGCAGCAGCGGCAGTACGGCAGCGGCAGCAGCATCGGCATGGCCATCCTCGTCATCACAGCTACCACCAATACCACCGCCGTCGTCATCGTCACCATCATCATCATCATCATCATCAGCATGGGACGCTGCAGGAGATGAAGCACGTGCAGCAACAACAGCAGGCGGCGGCAGCAGCAACATCATAATCAGGACTATTACGACCGTCAGCATCGACAACAGAATCATCGTCGTGGTCGTGATTTTGGTGGTCATCACGGCCAGAAACAACAGATGCGACATGAACCCGTGTGTGTGCGTGCTTTTGTTCGTGTCTATCTCTACATTTATGTCTGTAGGCCAGCTTGCTTCTCACTTGCTTAATATGAGCTCGTGCGAGTACATATTGATCTCTCACACAGCATGATGTTGCATCTGCATCACTTTTGGTCAACTAAGAAAACAACTAGGACGATACTGCCGGGACCATAAGAATCCCCGAACAGGCGAAACAAACCTCGGCTCGGATATCGTTCTTCTTGACGTTGGATGGGAGGTCGCCCGAGCTGAAGCTCCAGTGGTTCAAGCCTGCCATGCGAAGCCGATGAGGGGCTCCCTCCCTCTTCTTCCTCTCTCTCTCTCTCTCTCTCTCTCTCTCTCCCACGCTTTCGGGGCGAGTTGAGCCTCCCGGGGCATTACGCCAGCTTGTTGCGGACCTTTGGGTGCGAAAGTCCAGGATGACTTGTTGGCCAAAGCGGCGGATGATGCAGTCTCTTCAATTTGTTTTTTTGCCAGCTGCCTTCTTCGGGAAACATGCAGTCGCTCTCTCGTTGCTGTGCTTTGCAAAGGGCTACGGCGTTCCCAAGAGGGGCATCTTGAGCGGCACAGTCCAGATCGGATGGTTGCTTTGCTCATCGAACGATTCGGATGATCCAAAAATGTTCCACCCCCTTGTGCGAGGCCCGGCTTGTCATCGCCATTCCTGCATGACCCTTGGTCGCTCTGCTTTGCCACTTATCGAATCATTTGAACAGTGGAGGCTTTGGACCCGGTGCTAAGCGACCCCGAAATGACCCCACAACACCCCTACACGGTGCAACGAGTGTCACAACAGGCACAAGAGCCTTCGAGCAAGACCACGGGCCGGTCCATTCCGGCCGCAGCTCCTAGCAAACAAAGTCGAACTCACTCGCGAAGCTCCTTGGAGACTCTGCAGGCCCTCTTGCGCCTCCGACTTTGACAACCTGGTGAAAGTAGCCTTCCGCCTCAGGGATGAAGTGCTGCACTTCCCACATTGACGCCCAGACCGTTCTGCATGTGTCCCTGCCTGGCGCGTGATGCGCAGGAGGCCATCCAGATCCCCATCCTAAAAGCACGGCACAGCCGTCCAAGGTGCGCGCTGCCGGTCCAGCGTCTGCTCCCAAGGCACTAGAGTCAGAGTGGGCGGCAGCTTCGTAGAATCACGGTACCTTGTGAGCGACGCAAGTTCTGAAGCATTCCTGCCTGTTTCTCACATCGTTGCCCGAGCACTTGCGCAAGACCGCGCTTCCCGTCAGCACCATTGCATCCACCTTACCTGCAGCACAATGCGCCCAATGGCCGGCATGCGGCTACAGTGAGGCCCCACCTTGTCCAGAACCTGCGCCGTAATACTGGCAGCCGACAGCGCCAAGGCTATGGCCCATGAGCACCTAAAGTACGAAGAAGCTGTGGCTCTGGCTTGCAGTATGGTGCAATGCTGGTGCACCTTGTGGTCGGCCTGCATGCCGGCCTTCTCCATTTCTTTCAGCATGGAATCGACCTGCCAAGAATGGGCTTCACCACTTGCCACTTGCTCAGAAGCTTGCGTTGCCCTGAGCCTTGCTGTCGAACTGGAACTCAGCTATGTCGAAAAGGTGCTGGGGAACGCCCACCCAAACCTGAGAAAAGGATCAAGACACACCACGTTCTTGCGTCCGCCGTCGGTCAAATGTTCATGCGTCCGGCAGGCCTTAAAGGACGAGGCCTGCTGGATTGCCAAGCCCACGGGCTTGTATCCCGCAACGGGAGAGCTGGCACCCTGAACCAGGATCCTCGGTGACAGGAGGCATAGGGGCAGGGCACCAACGCAAGATCGCCCACGCGAAGAAAGGATTTGCTGACCGAGCAGCAAGGCAACTTCCGGACCTGTGGCAAAGAGCAAGCAGATTCAACCGTTTTATGGCAGCGCGAACATACAATTCCACAAAAATGAAATACCTTCTTGCATGCGGATTCGACAATGAAATGACCAGCTACAAAAGAAGCATCATGTGCTGGAGCATCAATTAATAACAGTTAATTAGCCAAACTAGTCACTAGTATTCTCGAATCAAAACACCAGGCCCCGTGAACCCATCATCCAGGACAGCCTGAGGCACTAGCCTTGCTTTCCCTCCAGCGGCGGCAAGTAGAAGCTGTCATCCGCACATGCCAGTAGCAGCAGCGCAGAGGCGAGAAGAAAGCGCATGGCTGGAGCTAAAGATCTATCAAGCTTGAGGCCTGCACGGAAAGAGGCTTGAAGAATGGAAATTTAGGTAAAGCCCGTGGCATGTGGGTCGCTCCGAACTCTTCCCTTTGTTTTGAGTGAATTTCGGGAGAACCTGCTACGCCCAGTCCTGAGGCTCACTCAAGAAATCGCAGCCACAGAACCCACTGCAGAGCCCAGCGCAGCAGATGTACGGCTCGCCGGTCAGATCCTGAGTCAAGATCAGGGCACGCTTCTTCGCGATGCCCACGCTGATGCCATGAAGCTGAGAAACAGGCAAGCAGCTCACTGCGCTGCTGGTATGCCGCGCCTGAAACACACCCAGCGCACTGGCTGACTGAACCTCTCATGACTCTCGGGCACGATTCCGTTCCAGCCAAGCTGCAAGGAATGCAGCAGCAGCCTTCGGAAACCACGCCGCTGGACAAACATAAGGGTAGCATTGTCGTGGCTACACACTCGGTTCCCTGCCGTAGCAGAAAGAGAGCGGAGCCTGAAGGCACGAGCACAAGGCACTGCATAGCACAATGCCACGATCGAAGTCCGAACCCGGCGCTCGCTACCGGAACTTGCCGGGCCTGACAAGGGGCCTGGAACATCTCTGTCTTCCAGTGGCCCTGACAGGCTTGCGTCAGCTCCTGCAATGCATCTGAAGGCGAGGCTGCCCCTGCACTTTACCGTTCCAGAGCCCTTCCTAAAATTCTGTGTGCACATACATAAGTACATACATACATACATACATACATACAGACATACACACACATACACACATACACACATACATACATACA